TGCTTGCGCGTCGTGTGTTGGTTGCTACTGTGCAGCAGCCGATGTGTCCTAATTACATTCTTCTATTAAAAGAAAGCTTGCACAAGCTTTTTTTTTAATTGATGGTGCAAAATTAATACTTTCCAGAATAATCTGTTTTCTGTGCACTGCAAAAAACGATTAGTTAGTAATCTGGTTGTCTTAAATGTTAACAGAAAGTAAAACACTAAAAACGTACTATTAGAAGTTCAATCAAGTCTCAAAATTTTATAAAACATTGACTCGTTTTTTACGGTGAACCTACATGTCTTCTGAGTTTTTATGTGTTCTGTTATGTACTTTACTGGTCCTAACTATGCCCAGTTTGGTAGCAGCCAGCAGAGCGGTCACCTGGGGCAGTGGGGAGTTATGCCTTGCCCAGGGGCACAAGCATGTATACCCAGTCAGTCTGGGGATTTGAACCCACAACCTTCCAGGTACTGGCTCACCTCTCCTATCACTAGGCTACCAGCCACCCTGGTTGACATTATTTTGATAATGGTAAAATACTCCATTTCATGTAATAACTTTTTGTGAGAGAGCTTTTAGAGGCATTAAATGCTTGAGACGTCTAGTTTCTATCACCATCACGGTAAGGTTCTCTAGAATGGCACATTTCTCATCTGTCCACTCTGAATGTTGTTACCTCTTTTAGGTAAGATGTTACCTCTTAAAGGTTACCTCTTAAACCTACACTCTGGCCAGAATGAAACTGGGTTGAAACCAGGCTGAGACCTTCCCCAAACTGTTCTCACAAAGTTGGAAACATACAGTTGTCCAAAATGTCTTGGTTTGCTGAAGCATTATGACTTCCCTTCACTGGAACTAAGGGGCCTAGGCCAACCCCTGAAAAACAACCCCATAGCATTATCCCTCCTCCACCAAACTTTACACTTGACACAATGCAGTCAGGGAGGTAATGTTCTCCTGGTATTTGCCAAACCAGTCCAGATGGCATTGTGCTCCAGAGTCTTAGACTTAGACTTGTGTGTAGCTGCTCAGCCATGGAAACTCCTTTCGTGAAGCTTCTGATCAAAGTTCTTTTGTTGCTTCCGGAGTCAATTTGGAATTCATTAGTGAGTGATTCAACAGAGTATAGGCACTTTCATTTTACAGTAACAGCACTTACAGTTGCCAGGGCAGATCTAGCAGGACAGAAATTTCACAAACTGACTTGTGGCAGACATCCTATGACAGTGCCACGTTGAGGTGGCATCCTATGACAGTGCCATGTTTAAAGTCCCATTCTACTGCCAGTGTTTATGAATTGAGACTGCAAATCTGTGTGCTTAATTTTATGCACCTGTTACCAACGGGTGTGGCTGAAACACCTGAACTCAATAATTAGGAGGCATGTCCCATTACTTGTGTCTATACAGTGTATCTTGAAGGTGGGAGGGAAAACAACTACAACTGCTTTGGGTGGATTTTTGGGGACAGTTTGAAATGTTTTTATCCCCCATTAGCTGGTGAATGCGGAATAAAGGCAGATAGCTGTTACTGCTAGAGTGCTCAATATTTTATTTCAACTATTTAACTGTAGAAATTTTGTAGTAACAATGGAGAGAATGGATTTTGCTAACAAAAGAAAAGATGAAGAGGACAACAAGCTAAAAGCTGAAGTTAGCATGGTAGCTACCTGCCTATCTAGACACCTTATGTCAGTTTGGCTTCTTTGGCTAAACTTGTTAAAGAAATTGTCTCTATCATTCATTTTGTGCTGAATAAAGACAATTGCTTTCTTTATGATTCTGTTAGACAGCTGAGGTAAGTGTTATACTAGATTGGTTGTGTTTATTAGCTTATAGATCAGTGACCAGCTGTCAGTATTGGTTGATACCACAGGGATTCCCAATGATTGTATGATGTATCTGCATAATGCATGCTGGGTATTGTAGTGAGAGAACACTGATTAAAGAAAACGAAGAAAAAAGATCTAAAATTATGAATTCGACAAACAACATATTAAACTCTAGTTTTAGGCCAGAATGCCCCTCATCACAAAAAATATGGTCAATGATGACCTGACATGTTGGCTCAATGCGCCCAGGCCCTTATACACACTGCAGTGTTACTCTTAAAGAGACAGGCACCCTGCTCACCTCCAGAATCTTTATTTAGACACATTTCCAGGAAGAAGCTGGCAACACGGCCGGTCACTCCTAATCCCTCCACACCGGTAATCAAGATGGACCGGCTAGTAATGCAGCAGGCATGAGCTACAGAACCACGAATACAAGAATAAATCTTCAGAGGGATCAACCTAGGGCCTAAGTGCTAGAGCAGAGGGACCAGCACATCCAGTACCCTCCACTCGCTGCATGCAAGACCAGGTTACGAAACACAGAACAAGCTGCACCCATATATTGCAATGAAAACAGTGACTGAGTGATTTTTGGTGAATATTGAGAGCCATCTGGTTGAGGAGTGCCAGCCTATTAGTAACTGATGTGGGCTGCTTTAGCACAAAGCTTGCGCATAATTGAGATATTCTCTCCAGCATTAGTGCTGCTTGCCGTACGCTTGCCTCACAGGCCATGAATTGAGTTCTGGCTGTGCAACAGGATTTGCATTACTCATACGGGCGAGCGAATAACGTCAGATTCAAAGACAGCGAGAGAGAGAACGAAAGAAAGAATGGTACACTTTCCAGTACAGTCTGGATTCAGTGTTCGAAAACAAACATACTGCCGCCAGCCCACACACAAGGAGAGAGAGAGAGAGAGAGAAAGAGAGAGAGAGAGAGAGAGAGAGAGAGAGAGAGAGGGAGAGAGAGAGAGAGAGAGATGCCTGTCATTATTTCCCTCTTGAAAACCTCACTGTAACCATTATGTAATCATGCTGTGCTGCTTTAAGCTCGAACTGAAATCTAACAAATGAAATACCCACAGATACCACCAATTACAATTTACTGTATCCATATACAGTATACACTTCATGACGGGAGGGTTTTAGAGCTAATTAAATTTACCATAACGCTGATGCATTGTAAACAAGCCCAATCCTGTTCTATCCAAAGGGCCTTTTTAATTAAATTATCCACTTATCTGAAATCACCAATAAAAACAGCAAAAAAATCAGAGAAAAGGCCAAAGTGGGGACAAGATGAGAGCAGAGCCAATCTGTACAAACGCCAGAGGGACAGCAGCTGAGGTCACGAGAGAAGCTAGAGGCAGTGGCACGCCACTGTGTCATTAAGTGGACAGAATAAATAAAACATTGATCGCGGTCCTGCCACAGCCAGTGACCAGGCCTAGGACGTGGGCCAGCAGTTTGTTTGCCCAGTTATGGCTCAAACAGAACTGAGGGGCTTTATGAGAGTGAAGCAGGAGGATGTGAGAGTGCCTTCAGTCTGACAGGCTCTTTATAGGAGAAATGGACAAAAGAGCAGAGCATGAGTGGACGTCCTTCTGTAGGACATTATATTGAATTGTACACACTGTGCATGTAATACAGTCACTGAAGGGTGAAGAGCATGTGCACAAACATACACACACACACACACACACACGCACCATTCAGACCAGACAGTACTGTGCAAAAGTCAGAAACCCCCCCCCCTAATTTATTCATTTCCAGTCAAAATAGACATAAGGTACAAGTTATTCATTCTTCATTCTTCATTCTTTTTAGATTAGTTTTAAAAATATAGAAAAGTCAAAAAAGGAGTTTCCGAAACTGGAGGTCAAATAATGGTTAAAAGATGTAGAGAAAATGGGACTCGTAACAACCGTGCAAAAGCTGGCAGACCACCAAATCTGTCACCTTCACATAAACAGTACTTAAAGCTTTCATCTCTGAGAGAGAGGAGAAAATCAAGCCGCTTCAGGTATCCATCCTTCCACTGTGAGAAGACACCTCACCACAACAAAGCTCAGAACAATGAGCCTCACTCGCCAACTGTTCTTAAGAAGAAATTTCTTTGTAAAACCCATTTACACAGTTTTTACAAAGATGCTGACATTCACCAGTGTTTTCTTATTTGGGATTTGTTCTTAAATAAGAACAGAATCTACACACAGTCTAGAGCACAACAGTGTGAACTATTCAGTTTAGGAACACATCATTTTCTTAGGACCTTTCTCAAGAATGAATTTAGGAAAAAACTTGGTATTGGTGAATGAGGCCCAATGAACTGTCCACTTCAGAGTCCAGACCTCAACATCACAGAATATGTTTGATCAGTTGGATTGTGAGAAGCAGAAAATGCAGCCAACTTCTAAAACTGAACTTTGGAGGTGTGGAAAAACATCCCTGCAGATTTCTGTAAGTGACTCTCCTGAAAAGCATGACAGCAGTGGGTAAAGTGTGGACACACTAAATACTGAAAAAAAGTCATATTTAGTTTTTGAGACTTCTGGGTAATTTTGAGCTAAAATACATTTTCTGCTTTTGTCCTGATGCTGAAAAATTAATAACTTGTACTGAATGAGGCCATGAGGTAGTTATAATTTTCTGGATTGTTATCTTGAGATAATGAGTTAATTATCTTGTTATATCTACATGACAAAACTTATTATCTTAAAATAACGAGTTAGTTATCTGGTTATGTCAAGATGGCAAAAGTTGTTATCTTGCAATAACAATTATCTCAAGATAACAAAGTTTTTATCTTGATATAACTAATTAATTATCTTGTGATCTCAAGATCACAAAGTTGTTCTCTTGAGATCACAAGATAATTAACTCATTATCTCAAGATAACAACTTTGTGATCTTGTTAATTATCTTTTTATCTCAAGATAACAACGTTGTTTATCTTGTTATGTCAGGTGTCTCAAGATAACGAGTTGATTATCTTGTTATCACAAGATAATTAACTTGTTATCTCAAGATAGCAATTCAGAACATTATAGCAGCAGCTCATGGCCTCTCCGGATTTCCGTACCTTTTTGACTGGAAATTAAATACATGAAGGGTGGTCTCTGACTTCTGTCACACACACACACACACACACACACACACACACACACACACGTCACCTTGACTGCTTCTCCGTGAGTGACTCTGTCGAACACCATGTCGTTGACGGTGATGATCTGGTCCCCCACGCGCAGTCCCTCTCTCTCCGCGGACGATCCGGGCTCTACCAGAGACACGTAGATCCCGACTCCGTGCTCGGACCCTCCGCGGATGCTGAAGCCCAGGCCCTCGTGGCTCTTGCTGCGCTTCAGGGTCACATGGCGAACCTCGTCGAGCGCCTCCTGCCTCAGCGCCGTGTCCGGCAGTGCGGGCGCTGTCCGTTCGGGCGCGGTGCTGAAATCGGGCAGCACTTGCGCGGACGCGAAGTGCACGGACGGGACACGCGCGCGGGGTTCCGCTTCCCCGGCCTCGCTCGGCGCGTCACCCGGGTCCTCCGGGCCCACCACGGCGCTCGTGAGCAGCTCCGTCTTCAGGTAGAGCCCCTCAGAGGTGTACTGGTCGAAGAGCATCTGGTCGGAGCGCGGGATGACCAGGCGCAGCATGGGCAGCAGCTGCCGCTTGCGCGGCGTGTCCAGGATCACGCGCAGCGTGCGCACCAGGTCGTACACGTTACGCCGCGCGTGGTACGCGTTCAGGCAGTGCACGAACTGCTCGCGCTCCGCGTCGCCCAGCAGCGCGTGCAGCGCGTCGTGCAGACGTTTCACGTTGGCGGAGAGCGCGCGGCCGCTAGAGCCTGCCGAGGTCGCGCCCGCGGAGTGCAGGGACACACGCTCCAGCTCCGCCGCGCTCATCCCGCAGAGAGGAGGAAGAGGAAGAAGAAGAGGAGGAGGGGGTCAGACGGAGCGCGTGGACTCGAGCTGGAGCGGCGGCTCTGCTGGGCGCGAGGCAGAACCGCGCGGGGACTCCGGCACGAGGCTTTCCTCACAGATGACACTGGTCATGTTCACTTCTATATGAAGTTCTCCTGAAATATCAAATAAACAAATAAATAAAAGTTTGTTTCGGTCATTAATAATGCAAGTTCAAGTTCACGCGCACTTAATGCTATAAAGTTTGCCAGAGCAGTAAAAACAACAACAAAAGAGACAGTAAATCTAAAAACAAAATGGATAAAATGCAAATCTATGTAAACCATACGCGTAATTGTTGGTCGACTCCCGCTGGACGTGTGAAAAGCTGCCCACAATGCGAGACAATCCAATAAAACCTCGCCGCACCGTGACCGAGCCGAATCCCGAGAGCGCAGCGGTGTTTTCAGTCTGAATATGTGTGTTGTGGAAGCGCCGGAGACAGAAAGCTGGTCCAGAAACGACTGATTTACACCAAACAGCAGGAAGGTCGTGCTGGAGAGGCGCTTCCACTCTCTCGCTGCGAACTGCTCGGATTTACTGCGCTCAGAAGAGGCTCCAGCGAAACGCGGTGTTTTTTGTTTTCCCACCCGTATTCGTACAAACCCCGCCCCTCCCGCGCAGGGATTGGCTAAGGAGTTCACATTCTTAGACTGAGCCGCGTTCTAGAACGTAATTAAGCCAGAATAGTGATCAACGTGATTAAGCCCTGAAGAGCGCTGTTCCAAAAGCCACGCCCCCAACGATACGCGAGGCATTCTAGAACTGCGAGCTGCTTGTGAATATGGACTAACAGCCAGTCCTGGACCGGAGGCGGAACACGACTAGCCAATCAAGGCACACGAAGAGGAGGGTGGGGTTTGTCGGAACACGGGTGGGAAAAAAAAACACTAACGCGCGTGGAAATGACGCAGGTGTTCGCGACTGCGTTGCCTAGAAACATACAACAGCGTGGTAGTATTTGGGCGAAAAAAACGACTTTGTTTGAAGAGCAGAGTTATTTTTAGAGCTCAAGGTTTAAGGGGGGACGGAGAGAATGACGTGGATGGAGAACTGAGGAGGAAAAGTTCCGCGGAAAGGAAGAGTTCAGAGTGAAGGGAGGGGACAGGGATTAGGATGTTATGCTGAAAGGAAAGAGTGAGAGCAAAGAGGAGAGGAGAGGAGAGGAGAGGCAGGAAGAGAAGAGAAGAGAAGAGAAGAGAAGAGAAGAGAAGAAAGGAAAGGAAAGGAAAGGACAGCAAGGCAGAGGAAATGAAAGGATGGAAAAGAGGGAAAACGCAAGGAGACAGAAAATATGAAATAATGAAAGGAAATTAATTAATGGGAAGGGAAAGGAAAAGAGGGAAAGAGGAATAAAGGATGTGAAAGAGGAGGAAAGGAAAGGAAAGGAAAGGAAAGGAAAGGAAAGGAAATTATGGAAAACAGGAGAAAAGGACAGGATGGAAAACGGGAGGAAAGGAAATGATGGGAAACAGGAGAAAATGACAGGATGGAAAACAGGAGGAAAGGAAATGAGGGGAAACAGGAGGAACGGATGGAAAAGGAAATGATGGGAAACAGGAAGAACAGATGGGAAATAATAGGAAAGGAAATGATGGGAAACAGGAGGAATGAATGGGAAATAATAGAAAGTGAAATGATGGGAAACAGGAGGAAAAGAAAGGAAGTGATGAAAAAGAAATGAAAAAAGAAAGGAAAGGAAAGAATGGAAAAGAGGATGGAATGAAAGGAAGTAAAAAAGCCTCAAATTTTGAACCTTTTTGGTCCTTGTACTAGAAAAGCATATTTTTGTCAAGAGAGAAAAAAATAAGGATTCAAAATGATTAAGGAATTGAAATAAAAACATACTGTCCTCTCAAGATGTCAGATTGTTGGGAGAGGAGAAGAGAGGACATAAAAGAGAAGGACAGGACAGGACAGGACGGGAAAGGAAAGGAAAGGAAAGGAAAGGAAAGGAAAGGACAGAAAAGAAAAGAAAAGAAAAGAAAAGAAAAGAAAAGAAAAGAAAAGAAAAGATGAAATGAAAATAAGTGGAAAGAAAAAGGCCTCAAACTTAACAAAGCATATTTTTGTCAATGGAGGAAAATCAAAATGATTAAGGAATTGAAATAAAAACATGGAATGTACTGTCCCCTCAAGGTGACAGAGTGTTGGGAGAGGAGAGGACACAAAAGAGTAGGAGAGGAAAGCAAGGGAAAGGAAAGGAAAAAAGAGTAAAGGATGGGAAAGAGGGATTAAGGCTAAGAAAGGAAAGAAAAGCACATTTTTGTCAAGAGAGGAAAAAATATAAGGAATCAAAACGATTAAGGAATTGGAATGAAAACAGGAAGTGTGCTGCCCCCTCTGGATGACAGATTGTTGAATATAATTTGCTTTTCCCATCTGTCATATGGCCGACACTGTTACCCTTACGCTGAGAGGAGAGCGAGCCTTTATGAAACATGACAGTGCAATAGACTATAAAATGAGGGCAGAAGCTCTGTGGGTTTCAAACGCTGCATTAAAACCTGGACTTCACTAATCCCCGTCATCTGGGTGAAATGAATCGTATCAGATCTTAAATCCTGCTGTATTTCTTTATCAACTAAAAAGTTGTTGCCTTCTCTTAATTAAAAACGGACCCCTACAAAACCCCACTTCCTTTGGTGTTGTATGATACTTCTACAATAATCTGTAGTACTTTTTCCTCTTTATAATGCTCTTATAGTACTGTCTCATAGTACTCTATAGTAAACTATCGTCATTATTACAGTTCACTTTCTAAAGGGAAGAATTCCCCATCAGACGTTGTCTGATGAATTGCGGAAAAGCGATCTGAAACATCAGAGTAGGCCTACACCCTGAGCCTGTTGTTTTACTGACCAATAACACCAAGGTTTAGTCCATTAAACACCTTCAAACGGCTGTTATTCAGTCAAGCACTGGCCAGCATGTTTTGACAGACATACTAGGGGACTCCCCTGTGTTGTATTAGTGAGAGCACGTGGACTGTTTGTCATCCCCTTAAGCTCATAAAGAAGCATTAGCCAAGGCCTTCAGCGGACGTCTACTGACTGCATCGGTCAGTCGCTTGCCTTGGGCTATTTATAAACCTGTATTTATAGTGACACGTCATGATCGAAGCTGACTCCTCCATTCATATCTGCAGAGTTTCCTCTGTGCTGAGCTCGCTCTGTCCTCGATTTACAGCCTTTTGAGATGATGCCATTAGAACAAATGAGCTAGACTCATCATTAAGTTTGCAGTTTCTGTTCTCAGCACCAGACCATATGAAAATAAATGAGTGGACAATTAATGGATCCAAAGGAGATGTATAGCTGATCGTTGATCTGGGTTGTGTATTACAGAGAGAGATGCTGGCTGTAGGAACAAAATGCCTACTTGTGCTATGAAGCATAGCCATTTTTGTTTATGTGCACAATTCTGAGTGCATATAATAATTAATTCTTAGACTACGGCGATGAGTCAGTATCTTTAAGAGCTTTATTTTAAATCTCATGGCCTCACACTACACTCTCAGAAATAAAGGTACAAAACTGTCACTGGGGCAGTACCCCTCTCATCACTGGGGTCGTACCCTCACGGGTACATCTCAGTACATTTAGTCAGGGAACATAATTGTACCATAATTCCAAGTTGTATTGACTCCACACACCCCGTCTCCTCTCCAGGCTTCTTATTTTATTGTTCTGTCTTAAAATATTAGGTTATGAAAAGGTACAAATATGTACTTTTCACCTGGGAAAAACTTATTTGGACCTTAAAACCACTGTTGTACCTTTTGAGGGTGCAAAATGTACCTGCACAGAACCTTTATTCCTAACAGTGTAAAGGGGTTAAGGCTCAATTGTGTCTCTTACACAAGTTTAAAGGTACACTGCATGCACTTTCCTAAGAGAAAAGTACATGACTAACTTGACCTTTTTAAAATAGAAGATAAAATAGAAATGATGGAGTCAAGACAGTGTGCATGGCCTTGACGCAACTTAGTACTTAAAGATCTGTAACAGAACATGGTACAGTGTTCCTTAACTAAAGATACTGAAATGCACCCTTGAGGGTACCATCCCAGCGAAAAGAAGGTACAGTTCAGTTTTTTACTGATGCGAAGAATAAGGGTAGGAAGAAGGGAGGGGTATGGGGAGGTCTGACCCCCCTAATTAAGTCTTTAAACAAACTAGAGGAAGTAAAGACAAACATTAGATGTAGTTTTAATGGTAGGACTTAAATCAGTTTCCCCAGCTCTGTCAGAAAGACAGGTGTAATACAATAATACACCGCTGTAGCAGTGCTATACCATGTCTTAATTGCTGGCATTAGGCCTGTACTAAATGGCACACATGAAGTCTTGCTGTCTGTTTGCACAAGCCTATGAGAAGAATGAGGCTTTAGGGTGTCCCATTGCTCATTCTGGCATTTACATGGGTGCTCACAAGCCCCTTTAGTGCAGGCTTTGGCAAGGACCGTATCCATGCCGACCCAGAAGTGGCCTTCTATCCAAAATTCCTTCAGATACCAGCTAGGACAAATCAGAGTGGAGGTTTTACAGCTGGAAAGTTCATTTGTTTAATGCATTTGTTTATTAATTTAACATATCGAGCTACATTATGCTGGAAATCTATAATGAGCCACTGTAGATAAACATTTTTAATTTAAAAACAGATGAGAATGATTTCTAATTGCACTGGGTATTGTACAGCCTGTGCTTTGCACAAGTCTGTCCCACATGCACACTTCTATACCTAGTGCTTTTGAGGTCTCTTGCCCCAGTATGTGGGACTGCAAGAACCATGAGGCTGTAGAAGGGTGTCCCACTGCTCATTCTGGCATTTAAATGGGTGCTCACAAGCCTATCTATAAGCCCCAAGCATCCATGCTGACTCAAAAGCAGCCTTCTATCCAAAATTCCTTCAGATACCAGCTTAGACAAATCAGAGTGGAGGTTTTACAGCTGGCTGACCAACATAGTGAAGAGGAAAATGCGTTAGTATATTAAT